TATAAAACTATGCCTAAAAATGCCTGATTGATTCATTTAGAAATCTTATGCATCATTCTCTTCGCTATTAGGGGGCGGAGCTTCCTCTGGAGCGTAAGGCAAAGAGGCCTTTCTATTGGTCTGCTGGTTGTTAGAGTATTTTATTTGGTCAAGAATGAGCCTTTTTATTGAGCTTGAAGTGAAGAGAATGGGGTCGGTCATTTAGAAAGATTGCTGTCTGAATAAAGAAAAATCTGAAACAATTACATATGGAAATATTTAATCTGTAAAGTTGAAAATGTGAAAGTTAAAAAGGGAAATAACTGGAAAAAAAATTGAGAAACTGAAAATTTGCTCTCGAAAACTTTTTTAAATACGAATTTTATTCAAGTTCAATTTATTGATGGGATTTTTTTTCCAAATTTTCATTAAGAAAAACTTTTCATTGCTGCAATAATAATGAAATAAATGCACATCATGGTCTCCTTGCCTTACAGCTAAACAGACCACCTTAATTACCATAAGTTGAGGCTGAACAATCTGTCCTAAAGTATTAAATTAATATATTTTCCAAACCTGGTTGATTTGATAACATTTTAATCTCAATATAAACAAAATAAAAGTCTCAGAAAGACCTTATAAAGGAATCCTGTTATTAAAATTCTCCTAATAAAACATTTTTAAAGAATATTGGCTTTAAAAAAACAAAACGTATAAAACCTGGATCTGTGACAAAAGCTGGACTGTAATGTATTGTGAAATATTGCATATTTCCTATGGTATTGTGAGATATGTTGTGTTATATCCACCCCATTTTGTGTCATGTCTAGAACTTTAAATACTCCATTATTTGAACTGACAGAAAAATAAACAGTTAAGTTATTAAAAACATCAACTTCCTGACCAGAATAATTTCTTTATCCCAGACAGTTCTTGTTTCTTTCCATTGCTTATTCTCTCTTCCACTCTGTGGTTTTGACATGTTGTTTTTATGAGGATTGGGAACGACAGGCATTAAACTGCCCCGATATTTCATTTGTGAAGACTAGCAGAGCTTGAAGCTCTGAATAACTGACACTAAGGGTCGCTAATCAAAGCAGCTAATCTGTGTATTTTATTAATGTCTCATAAATTAAACGTGTTTGTTCCTCTGCAGGTGCCAGAATTGAGGAGTTTCTCTATGAAAAACTGGACATGAAGGCTCCCTCTAGAGTTACAAACGCTGAGCTGCTGGGTCAGTATATGGAAGAGGCAGCCAAGGAATTTGGTCCTGGGACACCATATGGTGAGTGGATGAGCACCAAACAGGCGTGACATTTAGATAGCATCTCACTCCAAGTCATTTTCAGACTGTGATCCTCAGATGCTAAAGTTTTACTGCAGGTTTCAGAGGCGCTTAGACACTCTTCACTCTCTGTCAGTCCTGGACCGGTTGGCTTAGACTTTAAATCTGTGGCTTAAGGGGAAAACATTTTTTTTTTGAGGTTGTTAGTAGCATCATGGAAGT